ATGTTTCAAAAGAAAATTCAAAGTCAAAATCTTGGGTCCCACACCCTACCAGGCCAGGCCAGTGAAGGCTAATAACAGAAATTCGTAGTTCCCATGCCCGAAAAAAAAATTAAAAAAAGCTGTCGGCATCAATTGGGCCACGGTTTTAATAAATGAACAACCTTAAATGGTGGTAACATGACCGTATGTGGGCTGGACCGGGGCCCATAAATTGACGCGCATGCAACACAGCACCAGAATGGGCCCAGCCGACCAGATGAGAATAGCTTCGAGGGTGGGTTTTGTACTGCACCAGGTTCACCATGCACAAAGTGGAAGGAGGGATCAAATCAGATAACAGTTTTTGTTTTCTCTTTCCCTCCAACTTCTTTGTTATTTTCCCAGGCACGAATCAAGAGGGAAAATAATTAAACTATAAAGTATAGATTAATATTTTGAATATCCGTAGTTCTCACTTTAGGCTGTCTAATTATTTTTTTAATAAATATACATATTTATATAATTAAATTCATATTTTAAAATATTATATAAATAAAAGTATGACATATATAATATAAATATGTATTTTTTTATAAGAAATTATGATTCTTTAATAGTTAGGCAAGGTAAAACCACCATTTGTGTGTGAACTTTTATATTGCGTATGGAACGGGACTGGTTGTTTTGGGTAAAACGGTCGTGATGAGGAGAATGTGAAAATGATTTGTAGAAATTAAAAGGTTTTAAGCTATCTAAATTTAATGCACTAGTAGTATTAATTGTCAGGAAAATAGATTGGTCTAAGCAACAGACGCGTGCGTTCGGACCATTTTAACTTATGTTCACGCTACTCTAGAGATGCACAACCCCTAGTTTATTACTAACGAAACGAGAACAATAACAATCACGGATTAAAGTCTCGATTCTAACAATTAAATTATAAATATTCAACGTAGCTGGCCAAACTAAATCAAACACCATAATTTATAAACGTTATACACAGATAGCATGAATCAACTCTTCGACTATTTAAATACGTCGTCTAGAATAATCAACGATAAAATAAAGATCCTTCAATTCATAGACAAATCGAAGTTAGGTCCCCTCAAACTGAATAAAAATCCTAATCTAACATAATAATAAAAATAAATAAAAGATAAGAGAGAGAATAAAATTCTCCCTCCTGTGTGGGTGCGGCTTCCTTTTGCGCGTGTGTGCTCCCGATCCTTTTTCTCTCGCAAATAATCCCAAGTGTAGACATGTTCACGGGCCGAACCGTCCCGTGAACCGACCTGTGAACCGGTTCCGAACCGGCCCAAATTGGCCCTGAACTGACCTCCTAAGGACCGGTTCGTTGAATCGGACCCGTAGGGTCACGGTTCGGTCCCGGTGCATTATTTTTTTTTTGGTCCCGGAGGGCCAGGTCGGGCCAGGCCCGGTCGCGGGTTGAAAGACGGGTGATAGTGTTTTTTAGCGGGCCGCACCGGCCCAGAATCGGCCAAAAACCGGCGGGTCTGTGACCGGCGGTTCAGGGCCGGTCCAAACCCGTGACCCTTAGAAAATATCGGGCCGGTCAAGGGCCATGAAGTTGCGACCCGTGGATTTGGCGGGCCGGGCCGGCCGTGACCCGGTCCGTTGACTGGTCACCCCTACCCAAGTGCATGCGCATATTATTTTCCAATTAATCTCCTCCAGCCAATTTGTTAATCCCATCAAAAAAATGCCTCACGTCCCTAGCAACAAAAACACTGTTGGACTAATAAGATATGGGCTATGTGTGGGGCTTTGATTTTGGCCTTATGGCCTCGATACTTGATCATGTGAGCTTTTGTACTATTCCACAAAATACTCCAATGAGCTGAAAATAAATTATAAAAAATATTTAAGCAAATAAATCCATCCAAATAATAAATAAGTCGAAAAATATAAACGTGCGAATAAATTAAGCATATAAAAATACACTATTAAATATATAAAATACGCACATTTTTTTTACCTATCACCGACCGGCCCAAGCCCGACAAGCTCTTGATCCGGTGAACCGTTCGTGACCCAACGACCCGATTCCAATCAAGGAGTCCTAGTCCAGCTGCCCAACGGACTGTGCGGTTCAGACAATCTCCTACAGAGGAAATCTGAAACGTCTCAGAGTCGGCAAAATTTTAAACGGTAATGTCCTAACTCTTTTTTTTTTTTTGGTACAATGAAAGAAGGCCAGGGGTCTTAGAAAAGTGATTAAGCTAGGACACGACGGGGGTAAGAAACCCCAATAAGATCATGCTGAAGCCATGCTCCCAAGCCAGGAGGGGGAGACGCGATCCGATATAGCCCGACCGAAGAGGATGCCGCTAAGCTCGCTATATGATCCGCCGCAAAGTTGGCTTCCCTATGAACTTGTTGGAGCTTAACGCTCCATTCCCGATCAAAAATGCTCCGAATGGCCTTAACTAGTGCGGCATGGGTCCCATAACTATCCATCATGCCACTAACCAATTTCGTTACACTCTGACTGTCTACCTCGGCAATGACTTGCCGAAAACCCAGCTCCCACGCCATAAGTAACCCCTGCAGGAATCCCCATAGCTCGGCACTCGTAATAGTGCAGTAGCCAATGCTCATAAAGAAGCCGTCCCTCCATCTACCAAACTCGTCTCTGATCAAACCTCCGGCGCTGCTCAAACCAGTCGAGTTGTCGAAGGCCCCATTCGTATTTACCTTTACCCATCCCGTGTCCGGCAGGACCCAATGAATGAATCGGGTAATATATAAATTGGCTCCAACACAGACGTGGGCTTCAGCCGCCCGACTGTAGGTTTCCGTGAAACGAATAACTTCCAAATGCCTCGCTGTATTGCTCGAAGAAAGATGGTTGAAAATTCGATCATTACGCCACGTCCATAAGCGCCACACAGCAAAAGAGAACATGCTGCTCCATGCAAGAGATGATCTCAGATGCATAGTTGCCAGATTCTTTCGAATCCAGGGTTTGATAGGCAAAGAGAAGAACTCATGTACCTGGTCTAATGGAAGTAGCTGTGACCACAAATCCCTGACAGCCCGGCAATCCCGTAAAACATGTAACGTCGACTCACATTCCCCACAAACATCACAGACCGCCGAAGAAGCGATATGATGCCGAACCCGCTCCTCATTAGTCAGCAACCGACCCTTCACAACGAGCCAGAGAAAAGTTCGAACTCTCTGCGTGGCCGGAGCACGCCACACTAATTTCCAAAATGGCTTATCAGAGTCCTCAGCCGGTTGAGATAGTGCTTTATATGCTGACCGGGTGGAGAACTTACCGTCATGGGAGTAGCTCCAAACCATACGGTCTTCTCCAACATCTTCTCTCGGTGGGAGGATTTTGGCTATTCTCAGTATCACCGACGAGGGAAGAAGACCATGGAACTCGTTCCATTTCCACCGTCCGAACTCGTCTACATACTCGGCCACCTTCGCGGAGGTGTTTAATTCCGACGGCCTTTGGGCTAGAAGATTTAGCAGCGGTCCTTCTGTGCCCAGCCAAGGGTCGACCCAAAATCGAGCCTTCTCCCCGTTTCTCAGAATCCATCGCACACCCTTGACTAAGTCCGACCACACTTTTCGGAGAGCACTCAATAGGCCCGAACCTTGTCTTCGCTACAAGTTCACGCCGATAGACCCGAGAGTGAGTCCATATTTAGCCACAAATGCGCGGATCCATAAAGAGTCTCTATTCGTCAGGATATCCCACCCTAACTTCATCAAAAAGGCGTAGTTTATGTGACGTAAATTGTTTATGCCCAGGCCTCCTTCGTTTTTAGGTTTGCACACCTCCGTCCATGAGACCAATGGACCTTTCGTTTAACATCCTAGCCTCCCCATACAAATGCCCGAATCCTTCGCTCAAGGTCATCTTTAATGGAGCAGGGTAGCATAGCAGATTGCATTGAATAGAAAGGTAGCGTACTTAGGGCCGACTGGGTAAGAGTCACTCTCCCCGCCAACGATAATGATTTCATTCGCCACCTGGGTAATTTCGCCTCCGTCTTATCCACTAAATGTGTGTACATACCATTTGTCACACAACCGTGAATAATGGGTACACCAAGGTATTTGCCCAGATCCGCCGTCCATTTGAAGTTGAGCTGGTCCGCCAACCTATGTTGTTCCTCGATCTCCATATTATTGGAAAAGAAGACTAATGTTTTCTCCGAACTCACTTTAAGTCCCGAGTAATAGCAGAACTGGTGGAGAGTGTGCTTCAACATAGTCACCTGATCGTCTGCCGTTTCCAGGAATAATAGGAGATCGTCAGCAAACATGAGAAACGGGACCCTAACAGCTCCCCGACCCATCGAGATAGGTCGCCACGAGTGCTCGTCAACCGCCTTGCAAATGATTTGCGCCAACCTTTCCATGCAAAGAACAAAGAGGTACGGGGAGATAGGATCACCCTGCCGGACCCCTCGGGTAGGAAAGAACTCTTCACCACTCGTCCCGTTCCACAGTAAGTTCATCGAAGCCGAGCTGATACTAGCCATGACAGCCTTTACTAATTTATTGGGATACCCAGCTAGGCACAAGGTTTCTTCAATGAAATCCCAAAAATAATCATAGGCGATAAACTTTAATTACCATGAAGCCCTTCGCTCCTCGTTTAGTTCGCATGGAGTGAATGAGTTCCTGGGCTACGACGATATTGTCCGTAATGTGGCGCCCCGGGACAAAACTCACTTGTGCTGGGTGGATCAAATCCGGCAGAGTACTCTAACTCTAACTATAGATTCCGATAATGGCCTAACTCTAACTATATTCCGGTAATGTGCTAACTCTAACTATAGATTCCACTGCGTTAGGGTTTATTTTGATTGATTCGAATGTACACATCGTTGACGTTCTTAATAGACAGTTTTGCTATGAAGCCAACAATTGGCTCCATAGTTGAACCAACTTTCTATATATACAACAAGTAAACCATGCCATATTCTCCGATTACTTAAATAAATACTAATAATTTTATTAATAAAAATATCAAAATAGTCACACGAAAGGAGAAAACTGTAATTTCCATTTGGAGCAGCAGAAACTTATGAAGTTCCAAAAAATCACATAATAGTTTCTCAATTCACATATTGAGACACAACACCCTCGAAAGTCTTGATTTATCCAAGGCACAGTACATGATTCTAGTTTAAAGTGAACACAAAATTTCAAGTTCCTTCCTCATTATGATCAATGACAATAAGCAATTACAACCAACTAGCCGGAATTCCTATCCCCACCAAAACCCGACTCCAGAAACTTAGTCCCGTCAAGGTGACTCACGTCGCCCCATGATTTAATAATCCATTTGTTTTTATCTGTCAAATGAAACACATTGACCGAAGTGTTGAGAACTCTTCCGGTGGGCCGCCTGTGAGGAGAAGCCCTTTTGTGAAGTGCTCTTATGGTGCCGCCATGCGAGACCACCACAACTCTCTCCCCTGTGTCATTTTGAGCCAAAAAAATTTAGAAATAATTACTTATAACATACATGTAATATATTTGCCGAATTGAGCAACCACCACCTATGTGTTTTTGGGCGATCCTTTGTAAAGCCAACGTGCAACGTTCATACAGTTGATTGAAACTCTCCCCACCACCCTGCATATGAATTTAATTAGCCTTGTTGCTTGCACTTTTTATTTTATCTACCGGTTTTAATATTGCTATTATTCGTTCATAAAATATGAGGAAGTTGGTAATGTAATGTATCACAGGGTTATATGTTTCTTTATGTTAAGATTTGGACTTCATAAAGATTAAATTTTCATATAGGAGTGTTTAAGTTGTACTAATCATAGATCTCCATGTACGCTTTCAGAGAATTTATAAAAAATTTGTAAGTGTAAAACTAAGGGAAATTTTTCAGGTAGTACATCTTAAGAGTGGCTTCATGGATGCATTGCCTCTAAATTGTATTATATACTAATACGGTATGACTTAAAAGGTCAGCAGGCAACACATGAGCACCAATGCTGGCAAAGAGTGAAAAGGAAGAGAGAAACACGCACGGGAATTTCTTGATCATCTTGGTTGGATAAAAATGCTTTGTGAGCCTCTGGATTAACTTTGGCAATTTCATTCAAGATGGCACCTTGAAGGGCTCCAAGGTGTCTTTCCCTTAAGTCTGGATCTTTCGTAACCTGATGATCACAACACAAGGTTTATTTATATTTAAAAGCATCCACATACAAATGGAAGGGAATATATATATATATATATATATATATATATATTCATCCACTTTTTTAGCATAAACTCTTGTTAGCTATTGGTGCCACATAGATTGACGGAAAAGACTATCATTCAATAGGAAACAGGCAGTATGGCCTTAGGGCATCAAGAAGAGCAACTGCCGAATCAAATTAAACTCAAAAGGCCAACATATCCAAAGTCATTTTGAAAAGGAATCGATCACAAATGTTTTTTAGCTCACAAAGATAAAGATTATGATGCTACCGAAAGCTAAAGTTGACCTTCTATTCATACCTCAGGTACCCCACAGCTTTTTGCAATTATCTCGGCTGTGTAGAATGCACGTTTTAGGTCAGATGAATACACTGCAGAGATTTTAGGCTCCCTTGAAATCCGCTCGGCCACCTTGATCAAGTAAAAAACAAATTCCAAATCACGTAAATGGCAATACAATGAATCGCTAATAAATTGCATGAATCTTGACATACCGCAACCGCTTGCTGTCTCCCAGCATCATTTAAGTCCACATCCAAGTGTCCCTACACGAAACAAAGACAATAACCATAACACAAGTATCAAAAAACTACTATCTACTGATGCTTTTGATAAAAAGAACTTCCTTTAGAATGACCACCTACAAGAAACATCTTAAACATGATCTTTATTAACTTTTAAAAGTTCAAACATTGAGAAACAGATATAAATCCATACATGCACATCCACAATCTTCATCATCAATTTCCTTTTCCAATTCAGTTTACGAGGAGACTATATTCCGAAAACAACTAAAATTCTGGAAGGCTGTTCACAGGCATTGCCATGAATCTAATCCAAATCAACAGGAGCAATTTTAACAAAAATATATATATTTTCTTTGCTTCAGCTAATACAGCTGAAAAGAATTGTATGCAGAGAGAGGGAGAGAGAGAGAGAGAGAGAGAGAGAGATAACACCTGAATTCGACGATCAGCATTCCACTCCGTTTCACCATGACGAATTACAATAATCTCTGCATAGTTTGGACCGACAGTCTCGTTGATTTCACCATTCTCAACCGAACCAGATTGAACTAAAACTTCATCCCTGAAAATTTCACCAGTCAGTAATGCAAACCCACAAAAAATCCGACTAACTCAATCTCTCGATTTCCCATTTTCTGGGAATCAACAT